TCACAATGTTTAGAGAAGTTCTGAGTATCTACGAAAAAGAAAGACAAAAATCAAAAATCAAATTTAAATTTGCTTAGATATTAATTTAATGTTTTATCATCAGAGAACATTAGTTCGTCATTCATCAATAACGGCACATCACATCACGTTGAATTATTCATGAACGAGGAATGCAGTATTCTAAGAAAACTCGCGGAATTTTACTGCGATTAGTATTCGAATCCGCAAACAAACATCGGCGATTTGCGAGCCATTCGCGCTAATGGAATTTTTACGCTAATAAATCTCGATCGTCCGGGAAAGTCAGAAGGAGTCAGAAAGATCGAAGTGACGATTAAGATGTATGTTTTAGCACGGTCGTTAAAAGAGATAAACATGATATCACGTGAGAAATGAGACATAGATCTTGCCGATTATTTTTACAGTTGTGAAATTTCGCATCGTCGTAGATACGCGCGTGCGGAGGAAAAAAAAGCGAATAACCTCGTAAAAGTGTCGTTATGAATTGTCACACGACTCACTGGACACGAATAGAAACGGAATTGGCCTTGCTACCGTGCGTTATACACGCGACGGGAAGAGGAGAGAAAAAAACGCAGCAACCTCGAAAAAGTATCGATTAAAATCCATTAGTGTGCGATTCCGAGGGAAAAATGTAGTTACGCGAGGAAAGATGAGTTCTAGCGAATTGTAATTTGCAGAATAGACATATGGAGACGCATATACAGACGGTATGTATTAAAAACAAATGTTACACGTCCATTCCAATCAGCATTACGTATTCGAGAGTGACTATGTAAAGATGATAATTGCAAGCCTCACGTAAAGCCGTTCACAATCGTTTACCTGCATCTCGTTTTTACACTAATCGCAACGTGTGCGCGATTTCGTGCTCTTGTAGAAGTGCAAATATTCGCGAGAGAAAGGGGTGGTGCAAAAATGATTTTGCGATTTGCGCAACGTTTGGCAAAGAGGAAGAATTATTTGTCTTTCGACGAGATGGCAGAAAAATAAATTAGCGGTGCGTCATCGAGAGAATCGCCGGTTTCTCCCGCCGCATCTTCGTGTAATCGAAAACAGCTGATTCGTGACTGGCTACTTCCTCGTGTAATCTCGTTGATCTCACGCTTCTTCAGCAGATTAATTTTTTCGCGCCCGCTAAGTGCATAGGTCTTGCATCAGCTGCTTTGATTCGAGATCTTATGGAAATTTATGCGCGCAAAGTAAACTGATTACTGAACGGATTATTTCTTCGTGTCTTTTTTACCGTGACATTTTCTGACTTTAATTGAGATAAGAAAGAGTTTTATTCTGAACCGAAACGATAAAATCGTAACGGAATAATTGTATAACTCTAATCTTTATTTATTCTACGGAATTTTGCATAGAATAAATAAAGAATTAAAATATAATTAAAATAGTTGAGTGAGTCTTAAATATTGTTTAAATCATTTTTACTGTTGTACGATAAATAGCCAAAATTCGTGAATAATTTGAGAATGTCAAAATTTTATTTAAGACCGGTTTTAAATTAATTGAAGTGAGATACGTATATCGTGAAAAATTCTAGAATCAAATCCATACAAAATGTGACCTCGACAATTAAATATTCATTAATATTGCGGCAAGGTCATTAACATTGCGTAAACAGGATAATAATACAGCGCATTTACTTTCTCTGCGCGATGATTCTTCTCCGTTTCGCCGGGCCTACGTGAGAATTTCACTTGCGTTGGTCTCCGGTTATTAAGATTGAGAAAGAGCGGAACCGACACGCATGCACCTTTAAGTGATTTTCTGACGCAATTTTTTCATCCGTTTCGAAATGTACCGTTAGCCAGAAAAATCTCGAGAATCTAACGACAAAAGCAAACGCGCGCTATGTACAGAAATCGTATAATTAAGCCCAGAACGTGTGGCATAGCAACCGCAAAGACACTCTGGGTCTCTGTAATGAATGCAAAGTGCACAATTTCAAGATAAATAATATATCGTTGCATATATAACAAGATCAAGTTTTGCAACTACGTTTGTCGAAATGTAAGAATTCCCGTGTTGAGAAACTAGGATGACATTTTCAGCCGTCTTCAGAAACTCACTCGTACGTATATCGATGATTTAAACGGACGGCAGATTCGCGCGCTTACCAAGGTCTTTTTGATCAAACCTGTTGCTCTTGACATGTGCATGAATAGAACAATGGAAATATTTTGATAGTAGCAAATATAATAATTTTTCGGAAGAATTTTTTGCAAGCGTCAAACTTATCAATCGAACGATTTTTGAGAAATGGAAAAATATTTTATATTAGAATGCTTTCTTACGTTATTTTATTTAACAAATTTTCAAATATTATGTTACATTCTATGTTTATTTATATTTTAAAATTTACTGATGAATCGATACTTCACAACAATCTCTCAACTTTTGCAATATTTCTCTTTAATTTTCTAACAATTTCTGAATTATTTTTATCCATTTTATCTATCAAATTATTATTTAAAAGTAAGACTTACCTCAATACTGTAAGACTTCTTGATGGCGAACATTTCGCGATTCTTCTGAGCGGCTGCGACTGCCATCATATCTTCTTTATCACTCTCCTTTCAATAGATCTTTCTAATGGCGATTAATTTAGATTTCTCTGAATTTAACGATCGATGGACTTGGGTGTCTCTCAATCGTCGGGGACTTGGCCTGATAGTGCTCACTGGTCGACAATTCAACGAGAGGTGATGTGCGTGAGCTCTTCACTGCCGCTTCCGGGGAAATTACACGAGTGGACGTTGATGTCACGCGCTTTTCGACTTTAATATCCCGATGATATCCCGGTGTTACGTCCTCTTCGGCCTCGATCCGTCCGATCTGCTACGGTTCGACTACGACAAACGACGAGGACGTCGGCGACGACAACGAGCCTCTACTACTTAAGTCCGCTTTGGACGGAGCGTACGAACGAATGCGTCTACGGGGCGGATTGCCGCCGCATATAAACGTTGCCTCCCTTCACCGCCTGCTAATGCCGGGGTCAGGGGTGCCCCCACCCTATCGTCGTTTCGGGTGGTCCACCAGCAGCAGCCGTCGCTACCACCACCGCCGTCGCTGTTGCTGCCGTCACAGCGCCGCCGGCGCTGCTGTCATTGACGAAGACCACGAGGTGATTCTTCGTTTAGTTGCCGATACTTTCAAAATTCCCACAGTACACCATTACGTGTCTTTCATTAGACGATATGGTCCAGGATATCTCCTTATACAACCAATGATGGGAAGTTGTATGAAATCAGTAGTGACATCGTTGCACATAATTCGTTGCCTACATATATACATGCAAATCGATCTTCTTTATGTATAGTGTATCTGTGATATATATAAGTGTACAATTGCGTTTTATTAAATAATACATTCAATAGTGCTCTTTAGAACGCTATTTAAAAGTTCCAAAAAATATTGATGGTAAATACACATATCATCCTGTTAAAATTAAACTAAAATTAATTAACATTTTGATGATGTTAATTATTGAAAAAATTCACAAGATTTAAACAGTAGCTTTAACTTTAACTTATCTGTTGTTTAAAGAATGCCAATTTCTTGTTCGCTCTCGAGTTTTCTTGAAATAAACTCGAATAGGACCAAATTATCAATATTACTGTTTACTGGATTCAATGTATTTATAGTTCGCGCTAAGATAGAACATTTATCTCGATGATGTTTGGATCATTTCCAAAGAAAGCATATTTAAAAATATATCGATAATTATATAATAAAATATTATATGTATGTACACTAATATTAGGAATAATATATGTTGTGAACTATATGTTTATGTACAAGCAAATTTTTAATATTTTCTTTATTGTTATTATTAAAATATTAATATAGGAAAGCGTGACATTTTGAATCATTAACATTATTAATTTCCCGTAAATAGTGAAAAGCTCACATATAAATCCTATTTATTATATTATTTTTCAGTGAAGGCTCACGTAGCTATGCATTACGTATAAATTTAACTTTGCAAATAATCATGCATTTATCAAAGTTATTTAACCTTGACAGATTTATTGCAATTTGAATATAGATAATTAAAGAAACTAAAGAGCGTAAAACATAAAATACGTGTATTTTTTATATATGTAAATACAATAGCAAAAAAAGAAAGCAAGAAAATAGAATAAATATTTTTCAATCGTCAGAAAGTAAGTTATATCGCAGAAATACATAAGGCCGATGGATACGCAAATCAAAAGCAATTTCTGAGAATCTGTTTTTTCCGTATCTCAAGTTTCGCGTTGAGAGAGCCTCATTACATCAAATACACAAGAAGGTAGACTGGGTAAACCAAACAACTAATTTTACTTCACCATAAGAAAAAAAACAGGTACGTAAGTGATTTACCACTTGACGTCGCTTTTCCTCTAGGTTTACGTAAATCGTGCATTAAAGGTTAAATCACGATCACGGTTTTACGTCCGCGTCGGAACTTAGCGTCTCGCAAATATGACGCTCGTGCGATCGTACGCTCGACACCGATCGAGTCGTTCGATCGTCACTTCTGTGCGTCAACGCGTTCACATGCGTACATACAACGCACGCACGCACGCACGCACACACGCATGCACGGACGCACGCACGAGGCGAATGATCGCACGAGGCGTGCAATCGAGCGATCGTTCGGAGAAAGATCTTACGGAGAGAGAAAATGCACGTGTTAGCTTTTTTACAGCTTTCTAAAGACACGACTGTGTTACGCTCCGGCCTCTGCCGTACGTTCGCCGACAATGGTGCATTCGGTAGGTGTGTCAGCATTATTGTGATAAATATTTCTTAATACGTCAACTCGATCATCAAGAACCTGCTCCTTATAATATACATAATGACACGACGTATACATAATTGTATACGGAAATAGAAAAATGTCGCATTTACATGTACGTTGCGTAACGGAGGTTGAACAGAGATCCAGAGACTTCGGAAATTCGATTATTCTTGATTAATGATCGTACAAGATCATTTAAATATGGCAGCATTCCTAGAAAAACTTATCGATTGAATGATCGATTGAAAGATCGATGAAAAAAAAAACACACACACATACATACTACTAAATCGATACTCCGAGAAATACGCATCAAGATATCCGATGCACGCGTAATGTGGCATTAATTAAAATGCCAAAAAATCAATGCGAAAGAAATGATTTCAATACACGAGAGTTGACGTTGACATTGTACTTTAATATTTGGCGTCCTCCAATTATAATGCTGATTTAATGGGTATTTTCAAGAATTATAGAAGATTGTTTACATTATTTTGGACCAATGGACTATCGTTTCGGTCTGTCGACTTGTGTTGAAATTTTCCTTAGACGTCATTCAGGTGTGACAGCGCATCGTGTGATCGACGTCACGAATTGCGTCGCTTAGAGGCACGAATAGTCGGGAACTCCCGAGTGGCCGAGTTGAGTTCTGCCGATCTCTTTAGCGACCAATCCGGTTTCAAAGTGTGGATTCCCAGGCTGGGAGTTTCCAAGACTTAATCGTGTATGCCGTCTTCACCGAGCAAAAGAAACCGCTCGGTCGTCGTGTCATGGTGAATCACGTTCCGAATAACGCGATAATGCAACTCGTCGACGCATCATTACTCTTGCCCTGCATCGTTAACATTTTTTTTAGCGATTTCTACGGGGAAATACAAGTGGAGTTTAGTCTCAGATAAATAAGTTACACAATTGACTGGCAGTTTAGGTTTAG